ATATATGAACGTATGAACACATATGTATCTACACGTATATTAAGACGTATACGTATGTTCAGATTGAGAGTAAAATAAATGCTGAGTGAAGAAATATTCAGTTCGACACCAATGAGATACACACATAAGATGGAAGACATACCTCCGAAGTATTTCACAATTGCCATGGTGTGGTAGTAGTGCTGTGCTATAAATAACGCATCGGCTTCCCCGTGTACAGAATAGTAGTCGCCTTTGTTTCTACTGAAGACGCGTATTGTTGTGTCAGCATTCTTGGGTAGACCCAGCAGAAATGAGGATATGTCAGAAATTTGCCCCTTATCTACCTCGACATTAGGTTCAGCGGTCGTCATATTTACAAATTAATAGTCAAGCGACGCTGTCTTGTATACAAGGACTTGTTTAGTGTAGCTGCTGCTCGAGTATTTGGCTAGCTACCTAATACGTGTATGGCAGTATGTAGTATATGTTTGGTCGTGAGTATGACGGTTGCCAAATGATTACAGTCGATGTTGAGATCAACAGTGGTGTTATATATTTATTTAGTACATGATCCACTACCAAGTACATGCCATTGTACCAACCACATAGAAAATAATAAATACATACAATCACTCCATCAGCTTGGCATACTTAGGGTATAGGGTTTAGGTGCGTTCTCATTGGCACAAACTATTTGGGCGGGCCTGTACTTCCCATATACTTTTCAAAATAGATCAGCTTTTCCAAAATTTTGCCGCGCTTTTTACCTACGACTCTGGGACTGTGACTCTGGGGAGTCTGGGACTGGGAGTCTGGGAGTCTGGGTCTCTGGGTCCCTGGGACTGGGGGTCTCTACTGCTAGGTCTCTAGACTCTCTCTAGGATTTGAATTTCTAATAAAAAAACCCACGACTGCCCCAAAGGGCAAGGGCCCAAGAGGCCAAGCCGCCAGGCGCCAAGACCCCAACCCCCAGAGGAATCCAGTGACTGGACTCGCTGGAGTCCGAGTCTCTTGCAGAGAACCCAGAGAGAGTTTGCAACACATACAGCAATTTAAAAAAATGTTTTTAATTATATTAAAAATTCAGATACACTTGAGGTTTGGGACTTGGGGTCGAAACAATTTAAAATAATATATGTACTTCGTAGAATATAATATGAAACAAATTCATACCTGTATTTATTTATTTTTTATTTTTATCTGCCACTGCCCGGCTCTGGTGTGAAACCTCGCGGCTCACAGGACACAGCCTTCACACGTGTGGAAATTGTTTTCGAATTCTGTAAGTACAGATTACAAACACAAAAGACTACCCGCACACACAAAATTGTTTCTTTTCTACATCTTTAGGTGAGTAGAGACTCTGATGTGTGAAGTAACTAGATCATATACGATAAATGCCAAAATAGCTGCAAGCACTAAGCTGTGCAAATTATGAGCTCGGTTTTACATATTACAGCATATACGCAGCCACCTAAACTTTTACGCCATTCATTCCCGTTCTGATCCTGATCCACAGCAAACTTAAAAAAACCGGCACCATGGTTCGTATGAGTGTATTGAACGATGCCTTGCGCAACATCTACAACGCCGAGAAGCGTGGAAAGCGTCAAGTGCTTCTGCGCCCCTCATCAAAGGTCATTGTCAAGTTTTTGACCGTCATGATGAGACACGGATACATTGGCGAGTTCGAGATCGTTGATGACCACCGCGCCGGCAAGATTGTTGTCGAGCTTAACGGTCGTCTTAACAAGTGTGGAGTTATAAGGTATGCATTGCGCAAGGAAATTAACAAATGGAGCTTTAAATATGGTCTGTAATGCATGCCTCCGCTCATTATGTTAGGCAAGTATCGGACCTATAGTTCAAGAGTTGTGTGCATTTGGAACTGGAAGTGATTGCAGATTGTTATTGATGATAACGTATGCAGTTTCGCGACATTTTATCGCTGATAAGCCCTGCCGGCTATGTTGATTTGCACCTTGGCTGTCTGAGTCAATCTGTTGTCACTTCCTCTTGTGTTTGCTCATGAAGGTCCTTGAAATATACAGATCAGTATTGAAAATTGTACAATTAAGAATATATTGTCTCATCCATGTTTTTATATGTATCTTTTTACAATTACAGCCCTCGCTTCGATGTAACCGTCAAGGAGATTGATAACTGGACCAACAATCTGTTGCCATCTCGTCAGTTCGGATACGTTGTGTTGACCACTTCCGCTGGTATCATCGACCACGAGGAAGCTCGTCGCAAGCACACGGGTGGTAAAGTATTGGGATATTTCTTCTAAAGTATATTACCAGTGCTGTATACAGTCCACAACATTGGAGACTAAACAATTGTGTAAATACATTAGAAAGAAAGAACTGCTGAACGGAAGGCAAATGCTGTATGTTAATTAGCTTTGGCTTATTTTGGTTGGTCTATTGTGAATTAAAAGGCTATTGGTGCGGTTGCATTCATTCCTCTCTTGTGGCATATCGGAACGCTTTAGTTTGTAGGTTGGAAAACCGCGTTCGTCTGATGCACAAGGCTGTGTTTTCGTTGTTTTCTTCTTGCTACCGATTTGTCCCTAATCTTGTATTGGGTTTGTAGAAGTTCTTCGCCATGTCACTGTACTATGTGTGGCCTTGTGAATATATGTACGTGTTCAAAGGTCTCGGGTGTAGTATCTGGGATATTACACCCAGATTGCGTTTGTATTGAAGGAGAGACTCTCGGTCGGTTTCGAACTTTAATCTATCTTTTCGTACGGTATATTTCTACTATCGTACCTGACACAATTCGAAATGAGAAACATTGTCGGATTTCCGGTCGATGTTTTTCGCATTATAGTATTATTATGAAGAGTAATAAAGTCATAAAAATCTAGTCTTCTCCTTTCAGTTTTGTTGTGCTTTGTTTGGTTCATTTTTGCTTTTAAATTGACATACATACTCGCAAAAATCAGATCGGGTCATATTCTTGAATTGTATACGTACATGTATGTAAAAGTATTTATGTATGATCTTTGTATGTGTATATGCATACAAATCTGTTCTAATGTATTCTCTGAATACTTGAACAGTCCGTATTGGGTACATTAAAATTTTCGAGAACGTACAACTACAGAAAATGATATCCTGTTTCTAGTTCAACTCGTGTGTGATAGGGCCGTGACAAGTGACGCCATGTATATGTGTGAAGCGTGAAGCACACAATCTAGCAAACCAATTGTGCAGTGCGCTAAAAATATCCCCAAATATTGTAATTTGTGAAAACAATTGCTACTTTAATACTTTTTATGTGCTATGTGCTACATGAATGTGTGTAGCTTCTCATGTAGCTTCTCAATGCAACCACTTCAAACTTTACAAAGGGGAAAACGCAGATATATTTACATTTTCATATTAAACTACATACATACACCATCTACTCGCATTCGTCTAGAGTAAGATCAGAAATTGAATATTTCAAAATATATATATAGATATTTGCATCCAATATATAACATTCGGTCATCATAGAGGGACACGATCCAGTGTCCTGGAATTTAGCGAGCTAAACTTCGGTTATGAACGGTTGAATAGATTTATGAATAGTCGAGGTAAGAATCTCAAACATATCAAGAGAAGTTATTTCGTAACAACTCGCAAGGAAACACATTTGGCAACCCCCGCTATATTCACCCTAAATATATGCGTGTAAATAGACATGCAGAGTGAATATTTCTACAAACCTCATAGCCTCCCCTAATAAATAATGACGCAAGCCAAACCTGGATGAAAAAACCGTACAGACCCCATGCAACTTCACAAAACCCAAGAAGTTATATTTTACTTTTTTATTCTCATGCGTATATATAATAAATATATACCCAATATTTAGCACTCGACAATCAAGCAGGTAGCTACTTGTAGTCATAGATAAAGGTTAGCTGTGAAGTCTATTATCTGGTACTCGCAAGGATATAGTAACACGAATGTGTATGTGTCAACTATTGCGTATTTGGGTGCATTAAATAGTATCATAAGTAAACTGATAATTAATTTTGTAGCGATGGCTGATATGGAAAAAATGGACGGTGTTAAACTGTCAGCACAACACAACGCAGACCAGTCAAAACCAGAAGATGAAAGCTTATCATTAAAACCTTTAATTGATAGATACTATACACGATACTACAGATGCGGTGAGTTATTTGAAAGTGTTCATGTTCAGTTGACGACTGAATACTTCAATAGAATATTCACGTATATATATATATATATATGTGTGTATATATAAATATATATATATATGTGTGTGTGTGTGTGACGTATATATTATATATA